GGCGGCCGCCGCGCTGCGACAGCCAACACCTGGAGCCGCGGTTCGGGACGCGCGCAGCTTTTCGTCCAGCCTCCGGGCCTGCCCGAGGGGTCCCGCTGAGCCTCTCAGTTCCCCCCACCTGTGCACCGCGGAACCCTCCCCCTGAGTCTTTCGGAAACGTTAAAAATTTCCCTGTGGAGGAAAAGGGGTCCTGACAAATGTGCCTCCCCTCCCCAAATAAAACCAGGTCACAGGAGAGGAGTCTGAGCTCTTCTGGGGACCCAAAGCCGGGGCCCAAAGAGGCGAGGTAGCCAGGGACCTCCAAGAGCCAGAGGGTAGAGAGGAGGCTTCTAGGTGGCAGGTACTCCCCGAAGGGTTAGTGAGGTGCAGCACTGAGCCAGGATGGGTCCAGTCGCCACTGTGTCCAGGGTGGAAGGGGCCAGGCTGCAGGTGCGTGGTGCAGCGCGCGGAGGACAGTCCCAGACAGCGCGGCTGCGAGGCCAAAACCAGAGCTAGGCGTTCGGTGAGAGTGATGAGACCCTTGCCAGCAGGACAGGTGGCAGGACAGGTGGGGGATGCAGGTGCAGTCGCTGTCACTGTGGGGACCTGGTGTTGAGTGGCCCCTGGGGAGGGCCTCTGTTCCCAAGGGATTGGGGCATTGGTCCCCTCTTGAGGGCCCAGAGCAGAGCAAGAACCGCACCGAGCTCTCACCGACTGGAGACTCGGCTCTTGAACCCGGAACCCCATCCTATAGGAGACCCTACCTACTTCTGGAAACTCAGGCTTCATTGACCTGGTATGAAGCACTCTATTTTAGAAGGCCCAAGGATTCCAGTGGCTTTCGAGTCACTGCCCCTGTGTTGTCACTTGGGCTCAATTAGAATTTGAGGTGTTGCCATTTTCTCTGGAATTAGGGGTGAACCACACAAAGTCACTGTTTTTGTAAACACTCTAAAGTGGTCACTACGAACTGATGGAGGATGCCCATGGCCTTTGCCTAACGTGGGACCACGCCCAACCCATGGCCCAATAGCTCCTGCCCCTGTTGCCCAGTTGGCCCCTCTTCCAGGAATCACCCCTCTTCTGGCTGGGCTTTCTCCCTGATCCCTTTGTCCCCATCCTTCCTTGAAAGGTCAAGTGTCTTCAAGTACCAAGTATAAGCTCTCTAGTTAAATCATGTAGTGTATTTATCTCCTAGGGATTTTATAAAAGCAAAGCTGACCAATACTCCAAGATGATCAAATCCCATGAAGAAGAAAGACATACAATACAGTTATCTGGAGACAAAACTCACAAATAAGCATCACCCACTGGCCCTTGATTTGGCTCTCAATGCTTCCCCCACGGGGAAAAAAAAAAAAAAGCTTTGGGTGGGGCTGGCATCGGTGACTCGAAGGGCTTCCATGCAGGAGCAGATGCAGAGGCGGATGCGCGGGTTGCAGCTGTGCTCACCACACCTGCCGTCCTAGTCAGGTGTCAGGCTGCAGGGTACTGAACAGCTTGGTGGCCCTCGTTTGATGAGGACACTGGCCCCGAGTCCCAGAGTGGACATGCAGAGTCCAGCAGGAGCTTGGGGCTCCTTATTCCAACACCTGTTGGTAAACTCTGGGAGGAACATGAGTCTGTCGTTGTCCCAGTAGGTGTGGCCTTGTACTCTGATATGGCAACACTCTGTCCCCATTTTCCAGGTGGGAAAGAGAATACAAACTTTGCAGCCAGCATCAAAGAGGGACATCATCTGCAGTGGGATCCCCTCCAGTATGCCTGGTGTCCTGTACAAAGGAGAAGTCTGGACGCAGACCGAATGCGCAGAGACCAGAAGGAGCTTGGAGGTGGGTTAACGATGGCTATCGGGACCAGGTTGGCCAGTATGGGGGTTTGACCCTTTCCCTGCCACCCAGGTACCCGCTTACCTTTTGGCTTCCTGTGTCATGGTTTGTGGTTTTGCAAGGAGAACAATACAACACAGGACAAATGTAAGATTCTTTATAATAGTCATCCATACACAAAAAGCGATGCAGGAAACCTGTCCCTACTCTAAAGACCAAAGAACCCAGCTAAGGCTTGGATCCCATGGCAGTGCTCTACATGAGACCAACCAGAAGCCTAGAGCCAATGACAATGTCTCATGCAGGCCAGTTTCACAGATCTGTGCTCAGAAGGCCCGGAGGTCAGTAGTAGAAGCCAGAAAGTCTGTGCCGGCAGGATGAAGGGGTGAGGGATCTGCACTGGAGCCAGGAAGCAATGCCCAAGGTAAGCACCAGAGCTCCCCAAAAAAAAGTACCACAGCCACCCTCAGCAACAGTGAGGTCCTCAGCTCCCCCAAGGAGGAGGACAGCTGAGTTCCCATCAGAGAAGCCAACATGACAAGCTTCTTCAGGACACTGAGTAGTACACCATCTTTCCCTCTAGAGCGAGGAGTCACTGCTCAAAGTGAGGACCCAAGCTCCTAAAAAAGTTAATCATAACCATTCTCAGTGACAGTGAGGCCCCAAGCTCGTCCTCTGATGAGAACAGCCAAGTTCACCAGGAAAGCCAGCATGACAAGGTCCTCCAGCAGAACAGCCAAGGGAACCAGCAGCTTCCCACAGCTCCAACAGCTCCCACAGCTTCTCCAAGCAGCTTCCCTAACATCCTCCCAGCAGCTTCTCCAATTCTACCTCTGATCCTGCTGACAACAACCCTCAGGTGGGCCTCCTACACCCAGCGCCATGCTGATTGAATTCAGCTGGGCGAAACAAGGTGCCCACCAGTTCACAACCCACTGCATCAGCAGCAGGCCCTTTGCAGGAGTGGAGCGGGTTCTGTGCTCCTGGGCCTCCAGCTCCCAGAACCTAAGCACCATAAGCCCCATTCCTTTCCAGAGCACCTACCTTCGGTTATTCTCTTGCAGTCACGGAAAGCAGCCTGAGGGAGCGCATGCTACACTGCCTCCCTTGCATTTCTCCCCTTTTGAAAGGCAGCCTCCAAACTTTGGCCACCCCGAGTGTGTCCTAGCCCTTGGGGCATTGCCCTATGCTTTTTGTTTAGAAAATATGAGGTCTTTAATTTACTTGAAGATAGCAATCATAAACATCTCATGTATCTCCTTTGGGCTCCTTCTTCCAAAGGGACATAAAACACACACTCCCTTTGTCCAGAACTATGAGGTGTTGGCTTGTGTGTCTGATGGTGGCTAAGTGGGGCTGTCACTGCCATCTGTGGCCTGGCCATGGCCACATGATCTGATGGGAAGTGCTGGTCACCGTGCCTCACTCCTGGAACTGAATACAGCCCAAATAACTGGAGTACATGACACAGGCCCCCCTACAGAAGGCAGGGACTACAGCTGCTCAGAGGGGACAGATGGCAAATGGACAGAAAGCCAGAGACATACAGGAAGCAGCAGCTGGACTCACCCTTCAGCCACTTTAAGCATCACTGGTGACACAGGAAGAAGATGGAGTAGGAAATGATGGGTTAGGCTTCCACATGACCTATGCATGATGGGATTGGATAAACAACCAGTTGTACACCGGAGTTTGTAAGGAAAAATGGTTGTCAGGCAGTCGTTAGAGTTTTAGTTATTATCCTTGTCACTTAAGATGGTACCCACCCTATGAGGACTCTAAGCAGCAAAGGAGAGGGAGACACTAGCCTAGCGTGACTGGAAGTCAGACTGCTTCCTAGGCCATGTGTCATGACACATGCCTGTAATCTCAGCACTAGGGAGGCTGAGACAGGAGGACTGCAGCAAGTTTGAGGCCAGCCTGGGCTACAAAGTGAGTTCAAGGCTACCATGAACTCCATAGTGAAACCTTGTCTCAAGAGGTGGGGGCCTCCTGCAGGGCTACATGGGGCTTCTGCATGCTTGATGGCTCTTGGTGGTCTGTGGTCTTCTCCCCTTGACCTACATCCTCATGATTCCTGTATCACCCAAGAATTGCAGAGCAAAACCACAGCAAGCCTGGCCAGAGGCCTGGGCACAGGGACAGCTCATCCCTGGCTGCTAGGAGAGATTTTTTTTTCTTTTTTCAATACTGGGAATCAAACCTCATGGAGCCTCATCTTCAGCCTTTATTATTTTTCGTTTGAGACAAGGTCTCTCTGAGACCTTGTTGTCCAACCCTAAGTTGCCCAGGCTGGGCTTGAACCCATAATCCTCCTGCCTCAGTCTCCTAGTACTGAGATTACAGGCTGAGAGAGGTACTTTGACCTGATGCAGAAGACACGGATAGTAAAGGCAATCGGGATGCGGCATTTGGAAGTATTAGCAGCTGGTCTATTGATCGGCACAAGCTGTGATCACGGGGAACTGGAACCTCAGGAAAGGCCGTCTGGCCTAACATTTCCTCAGTGCAGCAAGCATAAAGGTTCTTTGGGGCATGATGACCCACATGCCAAAGCCCAAAAAGAGCCTGAGTCAGTAGAGACTGGTCCAGGGCCTGTAATAACCCTCAATAAACCAACTCTGAAGCAGCTCTTCTGTCCCTGAGCTGCAGCCCCCAACTCCCATAGATCTCTGAGTATTAACCCTAGACTGTCCTACCCTAGCCTAGACCTCCTGCCTTTTCTGTACACATTCGCCACTCTCTGGTGAGCCAGCCCTTGTATTAACAGGGTGCCTAGATCCAGATTCCACAAAAGGACCGAACCTTTCTCCCTTTCAGTTTCCAAAGACATCACCTACCAGGATTCTTGCGGTCCCAGTGTGACACTTCCCTGGG